TACGCCTTCTTTCTTTGAGTGAACATTTGGGCGGCGTTATGCAAATCTTCCCACATAGTGAGGTAGACATGTGGGGGCGTGTTAGAATGAGCCGTTTTAGGTAGGCGTGGCTAACTCTTAACGTTTATAAAGAATATCTCTTTGGATTTGAGACTTTAGTCTTTGCAACTTTACAGATCTTCTTTATGCACCAAGAGCTTGTAACACTCCAAAGAGAAAGGAAAAATTGAAATCGCATCATATGACCCCTTTAAACCGATCGTTCACCCAAAGACATTATTTTTGTATTCTTTGTGCACAAAAAGTATTCTTGTAGCTTCATAAAATTACGATTGAACCACTGATGTCACATGGACTATTTGAACCATGTCCTTACTACCTTTCTGGGCCTTGAACGTGGTAGTTCTGTTGCTGTCTATGCAGGGTTAGAAGGCTCTTGGATTTCATCAAAAATATCTTAATTTGTGTTACGAAGATGAATGAAGGTCTTACGGGATTGGAATGAAATGAGGGTGAATAATTGACAGAATTCTCATTTTTGCATGAACTATCCCTTTAACCTCCTGAGACCCTGTGACCTCATATGAGGGCATTATATTTTGGTGTATTTCTCTGAGACTATACATGCCACAGTTGTAAGTCTGGATGTCCTGTACAGAGCACATTCAGGGCTTTTCAGAGATACTAAATATTTGGATGTTTCACCATGACCACTCCCTCTCCTTGGTCTTCAAATATGTCTGATATTAATTTAGTGACACTCTTATGGAAATATGATAATATTTTGTAATTATAATTCAAATCTGTCTAATTTTAAACAGTCTGTCATAAATCAACATCTCAGGAAAATGTTATGGGGTTTCAAATCAAAATATGACTTTCTGTTATGAAACAGGATGTTGATTTCATACATGTCCTCATATGAGGACACTGGGACTAAAAGCATGTTTATTAGCATTTTGGGAGACATAACAAATGAATAGGGAAAGAAATTATGTTTCAATATCTTTTTATTTTTTAATTGAGTCCCGATGTCCTCTACCAAGGACATAGCATAACTTATGAATGAAATATAATTTAAATTTGTTATGCTCTAAACAATGTAAAGACATGAAAAAAAAAAATTCTCGGGTCTTAAGAGGTTAAGGATATTTTGATTAGTTTATGTATAATACATTTGGTCCCCATTTAACAATCTATGTAAATATAAAATCTGATCTTAAAGCAAAACAAGTTAAGAACCAGCTGCTTTAAATCTTGCACTGTTCACATGGCAACATAATGAACAACATGAACTCTTTGTGGAAGATGATTCTGCAGTGAGCTGTCAAAATAGTTTAACATTAAACAAAAATAGCTTGGGAAAAGGAGCCATGTTCCTGCAAATGCCAAACAAAACACAATGTGGGAATGTGGCTTTGATAAGGTAACTGTATACCTGTGTGTGTATGTGTGTGAGTGAGAGGGAGAGAGAGGAAAAGAGGAAAATGTATTGTTAAACTTAGCAAGCATTGTTGAGTGTGCATTAGAGTAACAAATTCCACTGTTTTCTGCTTCACACCTCACTGCACATTCCCTCCATCCCTCTACCTCGATCATTTTCCTCTGTTGCTTTATTTGGTTTTCCATCCATCTTTGAGCCTCTTTGTGCCCTTCTTCCTCACTGTTCCACTCACACATTTCCCACGTTTTCCACATTCATATATTTCTCTCATTAATAACTGTATACCTGTGTGTGTATGTGTGTGAGTGAGAGGGAGAGAGAGGAAAAGAGGAAAATTTATTGTTAAACTTATTGAGTGTGCATTAGAGTAACAAATTCCACTGTTTTCTGCTTCACACCTCACTGCACATTCCCTCCATCCCTCTACCTCGATCATTTTCCTCTGTTGCTTTATTTGGTTTTCCATCCATCTTTGAGCCTCTTTGTGCCCTTCTTCCTCACTGTTCCACTCACACATTTCCCACGTTTTCCACATTCATATATTTCTCTCATTATATGCCATTATATTCATTTTGTATGTGCTATATCTCCCTCAAAATAGTATATATTTTCCTTTTCCACTATGGGTTTTCTCCGTGGGTCCTTGCAGGGTCCAAATGTATGGCTCATTGAGCACTGAATGTGAGTAAAATTGTAAAAAATAAACGGTTTTGTAAAAATGTTGTATTTAATTAATTACCGTATCTTATGCCTTAGCAAGCATTGTTGAGTGTGCATTAGAGTAACAAATTCCACTGTTTTCTGCTTCACACCTCACTGCACATTCCCTCCATCCCTCTACCTCGATCATTTTCCTCTGTTGCTTTATTTGGTTTTCCATCCATCTTTGAGCCTCTTTGTGCCCTTCTTCCTCACTGTTCCACTCACACATTTCCCACGTTTTCCACATTCATATATTTCTCTCATTATATGCCATTATATTCATTTTGTATGTGCTATATCTCCCTCAAAATAGTATATATTTTCCTTTTCCACTATGGGTTTTCTCCGTGGGTCCTTGCAGGGTCCAAATGTATGGCTCATTGAGCACTGAATGTGAGTAAAATTGTAAAAAATAAACGGTTTTGTAAAAATGTTGTATTTAATTAATTACCGTATCTTATGCATTTACAATATCGTTCTAAAGTTTGGGGTTGTTTTTGAAAATAGTCTCATATTTATGTTCTCATCAGTGCTATATCTCCCTCAAAATAGTATATATTTTCCTTTTCCACTATGGGTTTTCTCCGTGGGTCCTTGCAGGGTCCAAATGTATGGCTCATTGAGTAAATTTGAGTAAAATTGTAAAAAATAAACGGTTTTGTAAAAATGTTGTATTTAATTAATTACCGTATCTTATGCATTTACAATATCGTTCTAAAGTTTGGGGTTGTTTTTGAAAATAGTCTCATATTTATGTTCTCATCAATACAGTAAAAACAGTACATTTGTGAAATATTGCAATTTACTGTTTACTTTTTATTTATTCCTGTCATAGCAAAGATTTGACAATAATTTTCAACAGCCAAATTTTGAGGAGACTTAGGTAAAGCGAGGGAGCTTCTCTATATGTCCGTATATACAACCAGTTCAGTTTGGTTCTTTTTTTCATTTGAAAGATAATTTGTATTATGTGTGAAATCCTCTCTGTGCCATTTGGCACCAGCAGGGGTTGATTAGTAATGAGGCTGTACTAGTTGTAGACAGAGCAGGTCAGGCAGAATTGACCTGTATGTGCTGGTGTGTTACTTAATTTGGCTGTCTTTAGGTTTGTTTGAGTATTTTTACACACACATAATCACACAAACACAAGAGGCCAGATGTGTTTGGATCTAAACCAGGACACATATTTTAAAAATCTGTATGCAACTCTGCAGTGTGTTTAAGCAGTAATGCTCAGTTCAACTGCTTGGGCTGAATCCTGAGTTCAATATAAGTTTGGCTCAAAACTGTGGTACATTTCTGTCATCAATGCAGCAGTTGTTTTCAACAGTAGCTAGGTAACGACTCAGGAGGTCACACTGCTTAACTTTTGTCAATTTTGGTTTGTTTGGTTTCTACCAAAACAACCTCAGGATGGCACTGCAAGAGATGCAAGAGAATGTGAGCTGCTCTCTGAAGGTAATCTGCAGAGACAACCAGTAATGAAAAACTGATTCACAACTCTGCTTGCAGAGCATCATTACAGAGCTCAAATGTGATTTCAGGGACCTGAGTTATGGAAGCATTTTCCTCATTATTTTTCTCCACAGGCATGAAAGAAAATATCTGAATAAAGAGCTCTAAGCCTTGAACCACACCAACTCTGAGATTAATCACAATACATCATTCAAAGCTAATAAGAAAATCTAAAGGTAAGGCAAGGTTCAAAACTATGAAAGAACTACTCCATCCCATAGAAAATGAATAATGAAATTAGTCTAGGATAACTGAGTTTGTAGTCTAACACTACCAAATCCCATATTATCTCATGTTAGGTAGTTGGCATTTAGCTATTGTTACCTAGTTAGTCCCAGTTAATTTGCCAAAACTCATCACAATCCTGTCTGCTATGATTTTTATTTATTATTAATGGTAACAGTGACTTGTCAGATTGCCAGGAATTCTTGAACTAAAGTTTTATTTTTATTTTTTAATGGTAAACGGTTTCAAAAGGTGTATTTGTTGTTGATACATAACATGTCATTAGTTTTTTAAACCAACATTACAAATTTAGGTTAACATATATGAATAATACATATGAATATTAAAATATATTAAAATGTATATATATATAAGGCCATTTAATTTTTTACATTTCATTCACTTTTTGCCTTCACTAATTTATTTCAACAGTCCTGTGGTGTGTGAAAATTATTTAGCACAGATATTCCATGTAGACTCTCAAGAGTTCATATAACGTTATGTACAATATATATTGCATAGCATGCCATACTGCAACTTTATTAACTGTTATTATTATAGCAATTCCTTTGAGATATATTTTCCAGTAATATATTCTCTGTCTTACCTGTAGCAATATTTTATTTCCATCATAATCATTGGTTTGCCAACGGACGTCACTGATGAGAGTGCAGGGCTGTGGCAGCAGTGGCACAAGTTCACCGACATCCCTCACTCGAATCTCCATCACAGCATTTTCAGTGGGGATGGGGTTCTGGCCACGGGGCATCCGCTTGAATGACAGCTGGATTTCTGTTTCAGGGTTGGAGAAGACCACACAGAAGCAGAAATCCTCCTTCTTCTGGGCCAGCCTTCGGTGCAGGAGCAGCCTGTACAGACGCACCTGTTCGGTGTAGGTCTCATAGCAGCAGTAGACTGTAAAGCGCACAATCTCTTTGCCATAGTGCACCTGACGAAGTGCCCAAAGAGGTGTGCCTGGTGCCAGTGTAACAAAGTCTTGGCTGGCTGGCGAAAACGGTAAGAGCCCTCGCCCATTCACCCGCTCTGTGTGGTGGTATCGCCACGGTGGGCATCTAAGCTGACTGTGGAGACGTTCAAAACTCTCTTCACCTCCATATTCATCCTGTAGAAACAGGATTACAGCCAAGGCTGGCTGGTGTGATGGTGGTTCGGTGACACGCTGCAGGCGGACCTTGGGCTTTCGCGAGAAACCACCTGCCCGTTCTGACACCCTGAAGAGGGTGAGATCAGGGTGGAGCCACGAGAGAACCTGATCAGCAGCTTGCTGGAGCGTTTTGGCCTGACCAGGGTCAGTGATGATGTGGATAGAAACTAGGAAAGGATCCTGTAGGTCCCCCATGGACAAATCACCTAAAAGAAAGACATAAGAAGAGGTGGGTGGATAGAGAGACAAGAAAATGTTCTATAAACTTACGGAGCTACAATGATTTAATATATTACAATACATTTGCAATGAAATAATTTAATTAATTGCGATGAAACAGAAGTAGCAACAGATCTTTACTGTTTTTTTTGTGAAAAATATACAAGTGAAACAAGTGAAAAAGAAAAAAATGTAGGGCTGGGATGGGATTGGATGGAGGGAGGGAGATCTGAACACAAGCGTGTGGTGGATTGTAAGAAAGGGGTGGAGGAGCTGACTTAATGATTGGAGAATTCCCAGCATACGTTACCGGAGAGAAGTTTCACAGGAAAATAAAGTTCTACATTCTAGTAAAAAATAAAGAGGTAATTTTTTTAAACATATGACGCATAAATTGTTTCCAATAACAACAATGACATGCATTTAGAAAATATATAGGGTGAATTTGAATTTCATGCAAATTAAAATGAATTTGAAAGTTACATTTATATATATAAATTACATTATTAATTAATAATTAATTTATAAATTAATTTAAATAAATGTAAACACTTTATGGCACAATCCCTTACAACTGTTGTAAACTGCTTTCAATAATACTTAAATATATCTTTAATAATAAAAATATCATATGATTAAACAGACATAAGGGAAGTATGTAGTTTGTTTTTCAGAAAAAAATTCAGCAAATCATTGTTGTCATCTTCCTACAACAAAATCATTTAGAAAATTCCCAACAATACTTGTCTTTCAGGCTCCCCTCAATTAGAGCACTGCTTCAAAATCTACCACACATTTAGTTCTTCCCTTTATTCATATTAAGTGTATTAGTGTGTTACATGTTCTGCTTTATTGTGGCTTCTGGAGTCACTGTAAACCTACTTTGCTTTTGACTTCTATAAAGGAAAGAACAGTACAAATAGAAAAAAAAATGGATTGGCTTTCAAGACTGAATGAAATCTTTTCATTCATGTGCTCCTGTTCTGTAATCAGGCTGTATAGTGAACAGTGCAGCCTCATTAGTTGCATTAGTGGATGTTAGTAACCCTGGAGAAATGCGTTGGCTCCCTGTAGGACTTCTGAATAAGGTTTGCCCTTCCACTGAACCTTCCACTCAGGGCTCGACCAGACCGAGCCCTGAGTGCGCGCACACGCACACACACACACACACACACACACACACACACACACACACACACATATCCCTGAGCACAAAAGCATATGAAACCCTTAACAAAGTAATCAAGGCACATATGACATTTTATGACTGCAGAATGAGATCCAATATTCATGAGCAGCAATTAAAGACTTTCAAAAATGACTGTACTTATATGACGTGCTAAAACACATGATGTCTCTACATTATGATAAATGCTGCACAATGTAATAACAAGCCCTTCAAACCTTCTTATTGATATATTCTTCTGTCTGTCATAATCTATAGCAACAACAGTATAAAGAATCTTTGTGTTGTTATTATGAGAACACTTATTATTGTGCAGCTATAAAACAAACAAACAAACGTATATAGCAGAAAGTGGCAGAACATGGACAGCTGTCTCTTTCTTTTCCTCTACTCTTTTTTCACCCCCAAACTTTCCAGACTCATGGGACTCGTCCCACTTTGTTTGTTGTTTAAGGTTGGGGGCACCAGAGGCCAAGGGAACGCTATGCTCTTACACACAAAAACACACTCAAGCAAGTAAGCACACTTCTCTAGTTGCACTGCACTCTTGCAGGTGTAACTGACACACATCTGAGTTCAATGAAGGATCCTTTCAATCGATCAGTGTAGAAAAATCAAGCTGTATATTCACTAGGCAAAGGTACTTGCTATTCTCTATTGTACAGTATGACCTCTAGAAACACACATATTGCAGACAGCCTCATGACAGACCTAATGTGATCCAGTTATTAATATTTTAATTACCAAAAGCTTTCAGCTGGAAGAAATTAAACGTGAATGTTAGGGCACATGGTTCTGACATGGTTCACGATCACATTATTTGATTTAAATGTTAGTTCTCATTTTAATATTGTCCCTATTTATCATGTTAAATGCTTGTACTGAATAACATATGTATTTAGTTATTTTGTAATATTTACCCTTTTAAAATAAATGTTTTGAGTACCATTATTCTGTCATTCTGAAAAAGTATCTGAGCAAATGAAATATTTTGAACAGACACTCTTTATCAGTATTTTATAATGTGGTGTGGTGCAATATGTGCCACTCTGTGACATTCAACCGTAAAATGTTAATGTATAAGGATTAGCACAAACATCTAAAGAAAAATGTGTTGAATCAATAATGTCATGGGTTATTATTAATATTTTTCAGTTATAATTTGTGAATTATTACAAGGCAAACTAAAACTATGTGAAACTACTTCAAGTTATCAATTCAAATTCTAATTATATGAATGACAGACTTACTGTAATGGGGTTGAAATCCTCATGTTAGCATATGTATGAACTGTAATGTAACTGTAATGTAACATATGTACCAAATCTGGTCTCCAAGTTTCTAAGTATATTTTCTGTCTATGAGAGACAGCTCTGCATTCAGTTAGATTCAAGCAGCCTCGATCACTTTAAACCATCTGTAATCTCAGTTGAGTCTGTAATGGAATGTAATCTGGCTGTTTGAGACTTAAGCAACCAACATTAAATAAGACACCATATTTAGCACCAGCTTACCATCCCTATTATACACTCCAATCAGGTGGAGTTCTTACACTGTAAAAACCTGCAATTGTTATTTTAAGTGGCTATTTCTCTCAGATCTAATGCTTTGTTGGTTTAACATAACGGATTTAGGTTGATTTAGTGATGTTAAATAACATTTTTGACTTAAATTAAAATGAACTTAAATGTTACCACATGAAGCTAAATTTTTTCAGTGTAGTAAAGAGTCCAGAGCTGTAAAGAGGCAAAAAAGATTTCACAGAATATGCACTCGACTCCAGATTCTGTTTATGCAGAAAATTGAAGATGTTAGCGATGTGACAAAATAAAGATACAGTGAGAAAAGTATTGTGCACATGGATACAGAGAAAATCTGATGAGCTGCAGAAGTGGCGAAATGCTGACATGACTGATGATGCAGCATTAAACAGTTATTCATGGTAGCCTTTCAAGAAAGCATACTGTCATACCGTTGAAAAAGAGACAGAATGCAGAACCAATAAGGGGAAATGTGGTGGAAAAAGTGAAAAACAGATCTCTCGTCCAAGCAAAAGTGCTTAGACAAAGAAAAAGACAATGGAATATGAAATATACAGTATAGAAATTCTAAAGAACTCCCTCTCTAGACACTACTACACTGATTCACACTACAACTTCCATGCCTATAAGCACTTAGCCAGGATAAAATAAAATACATATTACTCAATAAATGCATTTTTTGTCAAAATTGTTGAATGTCGTACTGTAAATTGCACCCCGTCATCAAATGAAAAAATATATATATATTTTTAAATGTGAGAACAAATGCTAATTTAAGCATTTAATTCTTCTTCAGCACCTCTATTTCCCCTCTCTCCTTATTTCTCAAACAGTCTCGTTCTGTTTTCTTCATTTTATGTCCCCGAGTCCACATTGAACCACTTTTCTTCATTCTTCAATAAATTATACACAGTCTATTATGTGGTGTCCTTGATGGACTCTAGGTTTTAGAGAGAGTGTGTGTGTGTGTATGTGAGTAGGTGAGTGTGTTTATATGTGAGTGGGTGAGTGAGAGAGTGCTTCCTGCGCTGTCACTGGGAGGAGTGTTTCCTGCAGCCCAGATTAATGGGCTAATATTGGATATTAATCCCTCCACAGGGAAACAGATTGGGCCCAGTGCAGCCACAGGGAAAGGTCAGCCACAGACACACACACAAGCCGGCACTCACACACAAACAAGAAGAGGTGTTAGAGCTCTTGAAGCACTTCGAGCAGTGATTCCCCGGACAAACTAATCTCACTGTCATGGCAACAGTTGTCAAGTGTTTTAACTGACAGAAATCTTCCACTTGCAATTAGTAATGTGCTTTTCAAAATACATAATATTCCAAAAGCAGCTTTAGAAAGAATAGTCTCATACAAACCCCCCAATGAGCACAAGGCGACAGAGGAAAAGGTATTTAAAAGATATTAGATATGGCGAATTTGTGTTTGATTAAGACATGCTTTGTTAGAAAATTGATCTGAACTGCATAAAGGGGAATATACAAACAAATTGCTTGTACTCACTGCTTGCTGATGACATAAGACTGTAGTCAGACCTGAGAAGAGAGTGAATGACAGAAAGGGGAGAGAGAAACAGAGAAAGACTTTTGTTAGAGACTGTTAGAGTGATTTAGGATCCCAAGGTTTCAAAGGAAGGTCCTACATCTGGATAAACAATCCTGGGTGTCATGGTATTATAGTGTGTGTTAGTGTAGTAATGTCTCTAGTGTATTACACACACATATATGCATAGGTTATGATCAAAGATTGTCTTGCTGCTTTGGGTCAGAAACCTTTCTGTTCTCTCAGTTCAACAGTTGCCGAGGAAGGCAAAAAACAAAGAATAAGACCTATTTGACATATTAAATACCTTATGTACATGTGCCTTACATAGTGACCCAGTCATTTTGTTTGCATTGTACATGCTTTTTTCCCTTTTATCGCTCTCTGGTCAATCTTTTTCCTTTCCTCTCCCTCTGTCTTTTTCCCGTTTCTCTGGTAGTAAAAACAGTGTAACGGTATATTGAATTCTGTTTAAGAACAGGGAAATTCCATAGTTAAACTTGAACTTTGTATGTTCTAATTTGATGCTGTATTAGTATGGGCTGTACTGGTAGTATGGTGCATTGGTGCAACACTTCTGTTTGGGATCAGTAAGATTTATTTTATTTTTGGACAAAAAAATGTATCCTTTTATTCAGCCAAGATGCATTAAATTGATCAGTTATGGTAAAAGTGATGGTAAAGGCATTTATAATGTTATAACATATTTATATTTCAAATAAATGCTGTTCATTTGAACCTTCAATTCACCAAAGAATCTTGAAAGAATGTTGAATGTTTTCCACACATATATAAAGAAGCACAACCTCAAACTTTTGAACAGAAGTGTAAATACTATGGCCTATACTTTGCATTTAACAGCAAAAACACTTTTATGTGCTTCTATGTAATACTTAATACAAATAAAATAATTATAACAGTCTCTAAATGTGGTCAATAATGTCATTACAGTGAATCACATTTGTTTTATGTTTGCTGTATAGAGTATAATGATCTTAGTTTAGGTAATTGAAGTGGTGAATTTTACTGCATGTTGTTCACACTTAAACAATGAACTCTCAAGCATCATTAGAACGTATCCTTTTAAAAAAAGTATCTGATTTACTGCCATCCATGCAGTTACTGTTGTTAAATGAACAAAATGAGGATATAAGACACACACCATCTGTTGGTTCTCATTTAGCACCAAGACTGCCACATTAACCAAATTACTATAGTTTTTTTTTTTTAACAGTTATCACAAGTAGCTAAAAAGGCTTGGAAGTTATTTGATATATTTACACTGGAAGAATAAGTCCTTCATATTATAATTACAGGATCAACCACACATAACACATTTTTGGATCAGATGAATTTCTAAGACAGTTTTGTACATTTTGTAACAGCGACTGTGTAAACCTGTTACTTAAGTCAAATAGAGGATGAGAAACACTTTCTTCTTGTCTGTCCCAAGTACAGCACTACAAGAGACATATTCTTTCCACAATTTGCAGCATTGAATCTTTCATTGTTTACTCTAAATGACTCCAAGAAACTCGAAGAGGATGACAGTCAAACTAGCTGCAAAATATGTATACACACCATATTTATTTGACATATTCTTCATGGTATATAATTGCAATTATTATAATTAATATTAGAGATACCGTCTGCTGTTGTTATTTTTATTGTATTTATTTTCTCTCATTTATTACATATTTATTGTTTCCTTTATTACTTTAGTGATGCAATTATATTGTATTTTACACATACTTAAAATGCTTTGGCAATACTATAATAGAAATGTCATGCCAATAAAGCAACTTGAACTTGACAGAGATAGAGAGAGAGAGAGAGAGAGAGAGAGAGTTCTTCTTTAAAAGTAGCTAAAGCTATTGTATTATGAAAGGATTAATAGACAACTTTAATGTTTAATGCTAAATATTTTAAAGGTGCAGTGTTTGATTACTTTGAAAAAACGTTTTACACAATAAGACATTTAGTAGCCCACGGTGACGCATTGCTGCCGCACACATATTATTTTTTCCACTCAATTATGTCGTAATAACGAGATGTTATGTCGTTCTAACGACATCTTTTCTCGTAATAACGAAAAAAATCCTGGATTCCTAGAGAACAGCGACTGTGTAAACCTGTGACAAGTCAAATAGAGGATGAGAAACACTTTCTTCTTGTCTGTCCCAAGTACAGCACTACAAGAGACATATTCTTTCCACGATTTGCAGCATTGAATCTTTCATTCTTTACTCTAAATGACTCCGAGAAACTCGAAGAGGATGACAGTCAAACTAGCTGCAAAATATGTATACACACCATATTTATTTTACATATTCTTCATGGTATTAATATTAGAGATACCGTCTGCTGTTGTTATTTTTATTGTATTTATTTTCTCTCATTTATTACATATTTATTGTTTCCTCTATTACTTTAGTGATGCAATTGTATTGTATTTTACACATACTTAAAATGCTTTGGCAATACTATAATACAAATGTCATGCCAATAAAGCAACTTGAACTTGACAGAGAGAGAGAGAGAGAGAGAGTTCTTCTTTAAAAGTAGCTAAAGCTATTGTATTATGAAAGGATTAATAGACAACTTTTATGTTTAATGCTAAATATTTTATAGGTGCAGTGTTTGATTACTTTGAAAAAAACGTTTTACACAATAAGACATTTAGTAGCATCATGTTGAGATATAAATAAAATAATACACTTATGTGAGTTGAATCCTTTCTTAAAAAAACAACAGCTTTATTCTACATAGAGCAGGTCGCCTCCTCATGGCCGCCATGTTGACATCAAATGACCAGATATGTAATTACTTATAATAATAATAATAATAAAGTTTTATTTAGTGCTCAAGTCAAGTTACAAAGCATAAAAGTACATCAAAACAAGTGCATTTAACAGGTCCACAAATAGCGTTGATGTCAAGCACAGCAGCTAATAATCCAATTTCATGCATTGAGGGCAATAAATGTCAGCATAACATTTCTATCTTAACCAACTTATTTCTGCAAACCCGTTGCTATAGCTGTGCTCTGAGTACCATAACACACTGTACACTGGAGAAATTAAGTCAGACTTGACAAAATATATTTTTTTGATATTACGCAGCGCCTGAAAATAGGCTAACTTCCGTCAACATAACCAACTACACAAACTTCGTGCCAGTCACATTGGAAGTTACCTAGCTGGGGACTATTTTCAGGCACTGCGTAATATCATTGCGCCTGCTGCACCCATGGTACGGCAGCAAAGTTCCTTGATTATTACGCCGGAATGAGAGTATAGTTCCTAGCCATATCGGCCTAGAAAATCACAACTTTTCCTTTTCCATCTGTCTTAGTGCACGATGTAACAGAAGAGTCAAGTTTTAAATAGGAAAAATATAGAAACTCTTTGGTCATTTTTGAGCGAGGTGCTAACGGTCTAATCAGATTCAATGATCTATGCTAAGCTACAGCTAAAAGTGCTACCGCCAGACCTGGAGATCGGCTGAATGGATTCGAAAACGGTAAAACTCAACTGTTTAACTCTAGGGGAGTTGGAAAATTAGCCTATTTTCAAAAATAGTGGAGTGTTCCTTTAAGGCAGTCATCCTTGTCAGAGTGTTACATAGCATTAAAAACCCTTGTAAAGTTCTCTTAAGGTTTCTGCCAAAAGGTCTGATTCTAGTCAATGTACCCCTCCGGTTCCAAAAGAAGATACTGTTGAAGTGGCTTTGGGACAGGGAGCCTGGGAATGAGGGAGCAGCAGTTTTCCCCAAACTGTTTCCTCAGTGCAGACCGACACAGATGCTGTAAACTGCGTGGTTTATACTCCATTGCAAAAAGAGACTCATAAAAGGTTCTGTGAAACTAAAAAAATAAATAAAAAAGAGAGAATAGTCATGTACTAATATGGTACAATAATTCCAACAGCATCAGCATGCATTGACTCATTCCAAAACTGATTTACTTCATCTTTAAGCCTTTTAGCCTTGTTTTGCTGTTTGAAATATTTATGCTATGAATCATGTTTCCAAAGGTTTCATCTAGTAAAAATCCTTGTGAAATTATGAAAGACTTACATGAAAAATATCCTCAGGAATAACCTCAACCCATCTGGGGGTCACAGGAACAAGTGTGTATGAATTAAACAGGATTTCCACAGTTTTAGGTGCCTCTGCACAGGCTGTTAATACCTTAAAACCAAAAAACATGAATGAAAGGAATAATTTTGCCAACTGATCATACCAAAAAAAAAAGATAAAATGAAAGATGAATAAGACAGCAAATTAAACCAGCTTTTTTAGTGAAGAATGTTTATGTCATGAAATAAGTTGTGTATTCTATAAGTTGTATATTGTGAATGTATACAATAAATCTCAGGACTATTATCTCAGTGTTATCAGTGATCACCTTCAGCAGTGCTTGTGGCCAGACTTTAATAGAGCCGTGATTTAACAAGGTCTGAACAACCCTGTGAGGTTCCCACTCTTGCCGAACCACAGAGCTTTGTAGAACACTAGATAACGGTGAGCATCCGTTATAGTCAATGGCATTGATATCAGCCCCATGGTCCAAGAGAAGCTCCACCAACTTAAGCTGAACATTGCGGGCTGCCTTGTGTAGAGGACTGCGGCGTTCTTTATCAGCCGAATTAATGTTAGCTCCATAGGCCAGAAGGAGACGACAGATCTCGAGGTATCCTTCATCTTGGCTGTCGACTGTCTTTTCTTTGGCGACTCCACAAACAACACCCAGTGGCGTTTCACCTGAAGAGCTGCTATGGTTCACAAAGGCTCCGAATCGTAGGTACAGCTGTGCATGGTGGGGCAGACCATGTCTAGCTGCCACATGCAGTGGTGTTTCATCCTCTTCTTCACTGGATAAGTTCACTTTGGCACCATATCTCACCAAGGCTTTTGCACAACTACAATAGAAATTGTAATAATTGTAAATAATTATTGAAGAGGTGAAGAATTTGTTGCTCATATTTGCACTACACTCTTAAGGAGATGAAATATTATTAATATGGATTTCATGTCAGTTTGTACTGGTGTATAATGACTTATCATTTGACTATTTAGTCTTTTATTTTTACAATTACTTTTAAATTATACTTATGGTTATACTAATTATAAGGTGTAATAATATATAGTGTACAGTATTATGTTTCATATTCATATAATGATACCATAGTGATTGTGGTGTTCTGCAGAGATGTAAGGCAGTCAGTCCATCGTCTGTCATCTGGTTAGGATTAGCCCCATGTTCCAGCAGCAGTTCTACACATTCATTGTTGGCGTTTACACAGGCCTCATGAAGTGCTGCTTTTCCTCCTGCGATAAGGTTGGGGTGTGCACCGTGTTCCAGTAAATATAGCAGACATTCAGTGAAACCTTGTGCAGCAGCAATACACAGTGGGCTTGTCAGTTCTCTTTTATACTCCAAAGACCAAAGACCTGGAATGGGAAATATTGTCAGACCATCACAACTGATGCATTTTAATAATTGAATGAATCTTATAGAAAACACTCCAAACTGATTTTTTAAAGAATCGCTTAAATCTAAATTACACACCCGACTTACTGTTCAAAGGTTTGGGGTTAGTAAGATTTATTTATTTTTATAAATAAATTTTTTTTTATTAATACTTTTATTCTGCAAGTATGGATTAAATTGATCAGAAGCGACAATAAAGCCTTTCTGAAATTGTATTTTTTTTATCTACTTGAAATAAATTCTGTTCTTTTGAACTTTTATGGTACTTTAAGGAAAAAAAGTGCATTAAGGTTTCCACAAAAAGATTAAGCAGCACAACTGTTTTCAACATTGATAATAGTAAGAAATGTTTCTTGAGCACCAAATAAGCAAAAAACTATCGAACGGTAGTGTATGTCAAAACATTTATGCATTTAGAAATTAGATAAAAGTTTTTCAGGGTAGATTATACTCTAAAAAATTGTAGATATAATTACAGTTACTTCTAATTTGTTAAAAAATATTAATAAGTTAAAATATTGAAAGTAGAAATAGTACAATAAAGACTAACAATAACAAATTTTAAAATGCTCAATAAAACTAAAACATATGTTTGTTTCATTCATCAGTTCAGCACAAAAAACTTACAGTCTTTTTGATACACCTCCAAAGTTTACATCCCATAAATGACTGTTTTTACCTGAGGGTCCAAAGGTGGTGTCTGTGTGAGCTTGCCACTCAAGTTCCTCACAGCTCACATTGTAAAACACATCAACATCAATATAGTTCCTTTTAAGGAGGTTACGAAGCCCTCTTGTGTCTCCCTTCACTACAGCTCTATAGAGCCATAAGGAGCGTAAATGAGCTCTTTCCCAATGATCCTGTCCTAACTCACAGTAATCATCCAGCAGAGCCTGCCATCCATTCAGCTGCACGATGGAACAGAGGTTCTCAAAGCGCATAGTTCTTAGCATCCTTTTACCTTTTCAAATGGCCTAGGCTTTCAAGGACTTGAGTTTATATAGTGCTAGTCATGTTTTCCTATGGCTTCAATCACTTTTTGCCTCTATTTTTAGTAAGCCATTGTTCTCCATCAGTTGGTCATAGCTTACTGGGGCCATTTTTAGTTGTTGACGTATGAGATAGATGCTCAATCCTTTGAGCTTCTAATATCTATGCCCATTTGTTGCCTTTTGTTTTATTTGAATAATAGACCTGTCTTTCCAGGACATTTAAGACAAGCTCCATTTTTAAACAGATAACATTTTATATGCTACTTCCATGTATGCTAAAAAGTGCCTGCGGTGTCACATGTTAGATATATACAATGGAAGCAGAGAGTTTAATTGCAATGGCATAATCTCTTGGTTTTATGAGATCATTCATTTCGAGGGCACACCAGGAAAATCTTTACTGGAATCTGCAGAATGAGTTGAAGTGGTGTTGCATGGAGACAGACCCAAACAGCGACTGAGATCAGGGCTCTTGAGTATTGATCTGTGCATGTCATTCATATGCACAGAAGATTACCACAATCCCTTAGAAATCCCGTGTTAACTCCACACAGATTCCTCACCACAGAAATTTCACAAAACCCTAAGGGTATGGCTGCGCCTTCCAGGGGGTGGGGGAGATCCCCTTCAGTTGAAATCCAACAAAGAACCAGGTTATGGCAAGGAAGGCCATTCTCTGCCATACGGAAACACTGCCCCTGGTTTATAATGACATAAGGATGAGCAAATGATGACAGAATTTTCCTTTTTTGGGGTAAACTACCCCTTTAATACTTTATATTAGTTTGGTATATGATTTCTACATGTGCTGTCAGAATAAGACTGATAAAAAGATCAGTGTTCCATGCAGGTTCATTGTTGGTCTAGCTGGTTAACCAGCAAAATATGTTAGTCAACCAGCGTTATCAGAGAGACCAAACCTAGCATTTTTTTGTTGGTGAACAACATGGTTTTGCTGGTTCACCAACTAATCCAGCACAAAACAACCATAGACCAGCAGGGAGGCTTTCTGGTTAAACTCGTTTAGAAGCCTGTTAAGTACACTAGGTATGCTGCATCCCATTCTAGGAACCAGAATCCAGCTTTCAACATATGTTGTTGTTATTCAAAACAGATGCACAACATATGCTGCTTTTCAACAGGATACTGAAGCTCAAGAACATGACTGATATGAATATATACAGTATAAGAGCATTATTGAATTTTACAATTTTAGAAAGGTTTATACTTTTAAAAAGTCTTCTCTGAAACATTTTGAAAGATTAATTACACAAGGATTAGTGTACCCATTTCTGCAGGCTTCAGACCAATGTAATGATGCTGAAATATAAAAACAAATTTTCCACTGATTAGACAATCAGTTTCATTTTAGATCTCTGTCCTATTCATCAAATCTGACTCACCCCGTTTCTGAGCAGTCCATAGCAGTTCATCGCTCTGAAATTCAAGAACTTTGTTCAGTTGCTCTGGATCAGAGAATCCATCCTGCATGTCTCTCCAGTGGTGGGTTAGCAGGTCATTGAGAACAGGGGGGCAAAGGAAGTCCATTCCTGGTTGTTTATAACCCTTGGTCTTTTCTTTCCTACCCCCCTGACTGCTGTCTAAAGACGACCGCCTTCTTTCTGTCAAGAATGTGGCCTTTCGACTCACAACACATGCCCCACTACCTTGGGAGAGCATTGCTAATATTGACAATCCTTTCCACTTCTTACTTGTCTGATTTTATGGCTATTTATATTATCACTGTTGCTCTATAACTTGTATTTTTAGTACAAATGACATGTGATCAGTGCATTGCAGGGCATGACAAGGGGGCCTTGATCATTGTTTTCATCAACAACACAGAGGCTGAGTGTTCAGAGAGGTCAGTTCGATAAATATGCCAGATGCACAGTTGAATGGAAAGCATTGCTGGTGATATCACCACTGCACAAGCCAAGAATAGAATCAGACTCTTCATTTCAACAAATCATGAGGTGCGACCGCATTGTCCTCCAATCACAGCTTACCGGGAATCTGATCCTCAACAGTGCTTTAGATTGTGACCTTAATTCGGAAAGTCCCCTGATCTGTCAACTGTAATTCCAGTGACAAGTGAAAGGGCATCAGTTTCTCCTTAATGCAAACTCTTTAAAGAAGATATTTTGAAGATTGCTGGTAATCAAACAGTTGGTGGATGCCATTGACTTCCATAGTAGGAAAAAAAAATGGCAACCACCAACTGTTTGATTACCAGCAATCTTCAAACTATCTTCTTTTATGTTCGACATAAGAAAGCAACTCATACAGGTTTGGAACGACATGAGGGTGAGTAAATGATGACAGAATTTTCATTTTTGGGTGAACTATCCCTTTAACTGCACTGATCATTGGAGTTAAGTAAAAGCTATTTGTACATAGATAGGGCTTTAAGATTTTGGTTGCTATTACAGGCAGTTCTTATGCATCTGTGTAGGTGCATGTGAAAGTTGTCATTAGCTGCACATTAATGTGACCTCACATGTAACCATAAACATGGGGCTGCTGAATTTGAATATCTCCCAATGAGTTGATGACATACCTGAGTATTTAATGGCTGTATTTATATACCATCAAAGATGTTGAAGCAGTGAGGACAAATTCAAGTTAATGGTTTGTTGTTTTCATTTTGACACTGAAGGAAATGAGGGTATTGGTTTCATGCGGGGATCTTTAAACTTTTTTCATACCCAGGACTGGAGAGATGGATTAGGGACTATGGTTTAGGGACCTTTGTTACAAACTGGGGCCATTTGCATAAAGACAGGAATAGTTTTTGGTCGCAAATTAGTCTAATTAAAATTTTTATGTAACTGAATTAAAAAAAAAATAGATGACTAACTTTTAAGACTAAGTTAATGCAACTGCCCCCTGAATGTTGCTTTTTAAGGCTGACCTATTATAACATGAATTTACACACTTTACATACTATTTACAAAACCAATTAAGTATAATTATTAACAATGTACCGAGTCATACACTTTTATCTTTATTTAATATATTCTTAATTTACATTTTAATTTTACTTTATATTTTAGAATGTGGGAGCGACAATAAAGCATTTAGCTGAACTTTAGCTTCTCAGTTTTAGCTTTGGTTGAAGAAAACTTTTACAACATCAGAAAAACTTGATGTTGTAATGGAAACTATGGGCTCTCTCTTTTGTAGCACTTTAGATACGGTTGCTCCTTTATGCCTTGTGCTTTATATATATATTTTTTT